AAAATATTGAACGACAAAGAAAACATCCGAAGAAGATGGAAGGAATGCACAGTCACTGTACCCAACAGAATGGGTTGACATTCAACTATTTCGGGGGGGGTGGGTGTGCAGAAGGAGCCCAAGCTGCACACTGAAGGCATCAGAGAAGCTCCAGAAAGGGACAGGACTTCTTCTGACAAACGGATGGAGTGCTGAGAGCACTCCCAAGTCCATGCCAGGAAATTTGGAAGTTGTCAAGGATTTCATTTCACTTGGATCCACAATCAATGCTCATGGCAGTGCAGTCAAGAGTGGTTTTCAGGGCAAATCTGCTATACCAGAGCATTGAAAGTGTTAAAGAGCCAAGGTATCACTTTGAGGACCTCGGTGTGCCTGACTCAAGCCACAATATTTTTAGGAGCCTCAGTTTCATTGTTGACGTCAGATGGATCTTGGCTGAAAGCAGAGAATACCAGAAGATGGTTATTTATGCTTTATTGACTATGCAAAAGCATTTAAGTGTGTGGATCATAACAAACTATGAATATCACTGTAAAGAATGAGAATTTCAGAACACTTCATTGTGCTCATGAGGAGCCTGTACACAGACCAAGAGACAGTCGTTGGACTAGAACAAGGGGTTCTGAATGGTTTAAAATCAGAAAGATGTACGCTAAGTTTATATCCTTTCACCAGACTTATTTAATGTGTATGCTGAGCAAATGATCCGAGAAGCTGGATTATAAAAAGAATATGGCATCAAGTTTGGAGGAAGAATTATTCAAGACGATACAACCTTGAATGCTGGAAGTGAAGAGGACTTAAAATACATACTAATTAAGATCCAAGACTATAACCCTCAGTATGGATCACACCTGAAGGTAAAGAGAACAAAAAACCTCACAAGTAGACCAATAAACATCATGATACACAGAGACTGAAGCGGTCAGACTTCACTCCGCTTGGATTCACAATCAACGTTCATGGAAGTAGCAACCAAAGTGATGAAATGTATTAATTAGCTAAAATCTGCTGAAAAAACCCTTCAAAGTGTTAAAGAGCCAAGATGTCACTTTGATGACTAATGTGCACCTGACCCAAACCTTGGTATTTTCGACCACTTCATAGGCAAGTGTAAGTTGGACAATGAAAAAGGAAGACTGGAGAAGGATCGGTGCATTTGAGTTATGGTGCCAGAGAAGACCCACAGCACCGTGGACTGTCGCCACAGAGCAAACCCATGTGTGCTGGAATGAGTGCATCCTTGGTAGCCAGGATGACAAGACTTCCTCTCTCATACTCCCCTATTATCAGGAGGGACCAGTCCCTGGAGACCTAGCAGTCAGCACTTACCCTACAGTGCCACCCCAGGGCTCCAGTGGTGAAGTGCATGACAGACTGCACCCTTCCCACAGGTGAACTTGACATGTGCAAGTTACGCGTGTCAGACAACAGTTGGAGACACAGCTGTCATCCTGAAGCGCCGTGTGGCGGCGACGACTGTCACCTGTTAGACCTCGGGCCAGAGCCGCTCTTCACGTGTCCATTTCCGTGTGTTTAGTAGTTCGGTTTCCTGAGCCCTCAGCGGCCTGGAGCCCAGACATCAGATCTCTCTGAAGACCAGGTCAGTTTCTTAGCATTGTCTCGTCCTGTCTGTGGCCCTCCTGTGCTTCAGAAACTCAGGGTGTCTGAAATTGAGGAGGCAGGCTGGCCACACACAGCTCATGGGCAGGTTCTTCTCCAAGGAACCATGGCTTTCTCCCTGGGGGCTTCTGCAGAGCATCTTCACCGGGCTGAGGGAGAGTGATGCCCCTTAGGTCTGAGCGCCCACTATCACCTCTCCAACCTGCAGCCTGTAGGAGAGGGGCCTGGAGTCTGGAGTATCCCCCCTGCCAAAAGGGCTGCCCCGCAGTCTCCCACTGCTATGTCCCAGAACAAGAGAAAGGAAATGGCGCCATTCCATACAGTTTAACCTGAACTGATCTAAATGGGGGAGTGGGAGAGCGATACAGAACTCTATATACACACAAACACAGGCACCATATATAAACAAAGTCCAGTTACCTTAGAACCAACAGAACTTTAAAACTGCTAGAAACAATAAATACAGGAGCACCGTTTCACCCTTGGGGAAGGCTTTCTTGAGTCACAAACAGCACAATTCATAAGGAAAAGATGATTCCATGGACTGTTCCAACCATACAAGCAAGGCCAAACACAGCTGAAAGATACAGCAAAGGCTGGGCTGAGCACACGCGGCCTCTAAGGAAGCAGCAGGGAACTGACGGACAGACAGACTGACAGAGAAGAGTGGGTGGAGACTGCGCCAAGTCAAAGGGACCAGGCTTTACTGAGGGATGGAGGTCCGGACCCGAAGGCATCCGAGTTCAGAGAAGACTGCTCCACCGGATGACAAGGAAAAAGATGTTTGTGTACAGCTGAACAGAAACAAAAAGTGAAAACATCATGACTGACTGAGAGACTAGCCGGCTTGTCAAAGGCGGGACACCTCAAAGTGGAGACTTAGCAGGGATAGGTGAATAACATGAAGCTTCAAAAAGGTCGTGGAAAACTCCCATTTCCCCACAAACTTTCTGAAGCCCCCTCATGTATGTGGGACTATATGATTGGCAGTTTAGTAGGTATTCCAATTTATAGACCCTTCGTACGAGGTTACGTAAGATGACGCTACGTGTGACAGAACGAACTGTCTCCTGGCCCTATGCCATTCTCATATGCATTGCTGCGTTCAGACCACTATTGCATTCACTGAATCAATCCATCTCATTGGGGGGTCTTCCTCTTTTTTTGCTGATCTTCCACTTTACCGAGCATGATGTCCTTCTCCAGGGACGGGACCCTCTTGACATGTCAACAGTACAAGCTGAAGTCTGGCCATCCTGGCTTCTAAGGAACATTCTGGCTGAACTTCTTCCAACACAGACGTTTGTTCTTCTGGAAGTCCACCGTATGTTTAATGTTTATGACCCCACCATACTTCAGCCGTCATTGTTCGTTGTGCGGCTCTGGGGTGGCTGTGTGGTGATACCAGGCACACCTCCATCCGGAGTGACATCTTTACAGTCACAGGACTGGTTAGGTACATGCTCTTCAGCTAATTACAGGACGGGTTTTTCAGGAAAGCCGGCCCAGCCCTGGAGGTCCAGAGAAGCTTCATTCAGAGTGCTGTGTATGGAAACCCTTTAGACACAGGGTATTGGTTTGGCCAAGGTGGAAAGCCACCGGGGGAAAGGCTGCTAGTCCTCAAGCAGCAGCGCGTCTCCTTGAGTAGAGGGCTACGGCAGCTTCTGGTTGTTAACATTCCCAAGGACTCTAAACTGGTGGGAAGGCCTCCCAGGGAACGAAGGCTCCCTGTTCACACTCCCACACACCAAGGGCCTCCGAGCTTAAGCTCATAGTCTGAGGCTTTCTGATCTCAGGGACACCACTCTGAGAAAGGGCCCTGCCTTGCTGATAGAGGGCATCTCAGCCAGCCCACCCTTCTGCCAAGGTGCCATCCTGCAGGAGCCGCTGGCCACAGCAGAGTTGAGGGGGAAGGTTCCCCAGGGGCACCCTGGAAAGACTGGCATGTCAGACCTGGGCAGGGGAGGGTGGCGGGCGTAACTGTTCAGTCTCTTTGATGAAATGCGCTTAGTTGCCCTACAGTCGACTGGGACATACAGCGACCCTGAGTGTGTGGAAGTGCCCCACGGGGTTCTCCAAATTGTGACCTGGAAGCAGACTGCTAGACTTGTCTTCTGAGGCCTGCGGTGAATTCGAATCACCAGCCTTGTAAGTAAGCATCCCAGCGCATGCACCAGCCTTGTAAGTAAGCATCCCGGCGCATGCACCAGCCTTGTAAGTAAGCATCCCGGCGCATGCGTTCTTGCTAGGGAGTCACAGAGGCTCACTGGTTGTTCTTGAAGCTTCTCCACATGTTGTAACTTTTCAACACGCAGTTCTGGGCACTGACATCACATGGGAGACACAAAGAGCCCCCTTCCCCAAGGCACTTCCGCACTCAGCTGAAAGGCCTTAGGGAGGGGGCCCCAACACTGGAGCACGCTGTCTGCTGTCAAAACCTCACGACCCTGCGGCTGCTGCTACTGCAACACGTACGTACACGCATGCGCACACAGCCTGGAGGAGCTAGTTACCCAGAGGCACTTGCTGACCCTGACCTTGGATGGAAGAGCTGCTCCTCCAGGCCCGGCTGACCTCCTGATCGACTGGGGGAAAGTGAGGGTACCTGCGACCCAGTAAGCCACAAGGCCTGAGCAGAGGAGCCTGGGGCTTGGCATGTGAGGGACAGAGGCCGGCCGGTGGCCCCACCCCTCAGTACTGGGGGTTGAAGCAGAGAGTAGGGGAGCTTATGGGGCCGTCAAGAGGGAAACCACACACCTGGCAGCTTTGAAAGGTTTAATGGTGAGTCCTTGTCAGCGGCCGTCTGGCTGACCATCGTCCAACCAGCAAGGCTGACGGTGTGCCCACTGCACCTGCACCCCGGCAGGTCCACGAGAGCAGGACACCCCACATCCTTAGGGGGCGGGTCACACCATCAGCACTCAGCATAGCTTGGGGCTGAGGAGCCCATCAAGGTGGGCCTGCAGGGGGGTCTAGCCCTGGCTGAACGAAGGGGCCAAGCCAGACAGGGAGTTGGCAATGCCCATTCCCTGCATCCATGCCCAAAGGACAAGGATCCCCAACAGTGGTCCTACTTGCCCACATCCACACCCCAAGGAAGAGCATCCTCAGTGCGGTTCCCTTCCCTGTGTCCACACCCGAGGAGTGAAGGTTCCCAGGGACGGTTCCCCTTCCCAACATCCATGACTGAGGGGCGAAGGCTCCCACCAGCTGACCCTCTTCCCTGCATCCACGCCCGAGGGGCCAGGGTCCCGATGGCAGCTCCGGTGGCACCCGAGTGAGCCCTGCCCCGGCGGGCCCTCAGCCAAGCCACTGCCGGGCAGCCTCTCCGCCCTGGCTGCCTCCTCCTCCAAGGCTGCACCCTTCGGCAGCTTCTGCTAGAGGCCTGTTAGGTCCACAATGGCCTTGATGAAAATGGCGTCGTTGCGCACATACGAGTTCTTGGCTTCCATTTTGGAGATGGGGCAGAAGAGGGGGCAGCCGCTGGCGATGTTCATGTCGCTGACCGGCCGCTGGAAGGATGATGATGTCACGTCGGGCCGGAAGGCGTCGATGACGTGCTCCCGGTTGTTCTGGTCTAGCAGCATGAGCGTCACCTGGGGGAAGGGGGCCATGAGCCGGTTTGAGCCCCCCCCCCCCCCCCCCCCACACACACAGAGTTGTTTATAAGTGCCGTGGAGTTGGTTCTACTGAGAGCAACTCTGTATAGGGTTTCCAAGGAGGGGCTGGTAAGCTTGAGCCTGGGCCTTGTGGGTCATGCCAACCTTGCAGTCCAGCACATTAACCCACAGTGCCACACCAGAACACTATATTGTTGTTAAGTGCCATGGAGTTGGTTCTGATGCATAGCTACCTAGTATAGGGTTTCCAAGGAGCAGCTGGTGAGTTTGAACCACCGACCTTGCGGCCCAAACTGACTTTGAGGTCCAGCGCATTAACCCACAGCGCCACACCAGGACTCCTCTAAGAGTGCTGGTGGGAATGTCGCTGGGGGGCAGTGTGGCGACCCCTCAAAAAGCCAAAACCAGGCCCTGGAGGCAGCATGGGCAGCAGCAGAAAGTGGACTGTCCCCCCGCTGGACCGAGAAAAGAAGTCCTGAGTAGTAGCGCTCAGGAAAATGGAGAAGAGAAAGAGGGTCCTAAGTGCTACTCAGACAGAAGGCAAGCCGGCTGTATGGACCCCTGATCTGAAGAATCTCCAATAGGCAAATACAGTCCATCTGCAAAAAAGCAGCCGACTTCACTGGAGGGACGGGGGCAGTCCATGTTCAGGAAGCAGAACCCTCACCGTAACCAGGACGGCTGGACAACATGATGAACGAATTGGACACCTGAAAATGGGCCGGGCCTTTTCACAGCAAAGGTGGTTATGCCAAAACTGCTGTTCTGTGCCAGGCCAAGTCAATCTTACTGCCAGAAAATCACCAAAACCTTGACTTTTAAAAAAACACCAAAACCTGGCGCTGCTGTTCCCTGGCATACCCTCTAGCTACGTCTGTACACTTAGCAGAGCGGCATTCCCAACTCTCTAGCCTGCTCTGCCGTAGACACCACGGTAGCTCAGCCCAGCAGAACCAGAAAGCAAGTGTTTAGAATGGAACTTTGTTTGTAACCACACGAGACAAGTCTTACTGAGAGAACTTGTCTCGGCAATCCTGTGATCACAGACACATGTTTCAACATGTTTTGTTTGGAATGAATTAGTGCACGTATGAACTGGACTGTTAACAATGATATTTTCTGACTGACCCTCATACTAAATGCTGCATCATGGATAAAATGCTGCGTCATACGTAGAAAAGACTGTTCATAAATTGTGTCGTGAGTAAAATGTTACGTATGAAATGCTGTGGCGCCAACGCGGGTTAGTGCGCTGCCCTGTAAAGTTGTTTGAACCGCAATGTCAGTGGTTCCTGCTCACCAGTAGCTCCTCGGAAACCCTATACAGTTGCTACACAGCACCAATAGTTTCAAAACAGCTACAGGGGACAATTCTGAGTGTCCGGCTAAACCCCAGCTTGCTGAGGGTTCTGGCTGCGCCCCTCAACTTTTAGCCTGTTTCCCGTGTAAGCTCTGATCCCTGGTCCCAGTTCCTAGGAACCCAGCAATAGCTAAGCATCCAGCCCCCTCATCAGCCCTCCTCCCTCGTTAGTTGCACCACGAACATTGCCCCCAGATGCTCACCCCCCAAAACCGACCTGGGGAGCTCCTGAAAACTGGGGTGGAAACTCACCTTCTGGTTGAAAGGCCACCGTAGTAGGGCGTCATTGGGGCTTCGCATCACCACAAAGAAGAGAGACAGGTGGGTACCCCGCCCGGTGCCGTCTCCGTTCAGGTAGATGCGCAGACACATCTTGTAGCCGTACCTGCTCGTGTAGAAGGCTGCAGAGGGCAGAGCAGGGCACAGTGAGGTGGGCGGGTGAGTGGAAGTATGAGGTGAAGGTCGGGGCAGGGACACAGGGAGACACAGTGAGGGAGGGTAGGCTGGAGGGTCGGGTGGGACATAGCGAAGGAGGACGGAGTGCAGGGTCACATGGTGAGGATGGGGCGGGGACACAGTGCAGGAGGGCAGGCTGAAGGGTCACGTGGTAAGTAAGGGGCGGGGATAATGAGTGAGGGGCGGGGATAATGAGTGAGGGGCGGGGACAGTGAGGGAGGGCGTGGTGCAGGGTCACGTGGTGAGTGAGGGGCGGGGACACAGGGAGGCCGAACCGGGGTTAGAGTGCAGCAGGCCGCACCTGGGGAAAAGATGGCAGGCGAGCGGCCAGCCACGGCCTCTTGGCGCTTCCGGGCAAAGTCAGTGATCTTCCAGATGAAGACACCGTCGTAGGTGGCCGCCTCCATCTCTTGGACCTTCTGCTCTAGGTCGGCCATAGCCAGATCCTTCAGGCCGATGCTCCGCTCCAGCTGTTGCACCTGTGAGGAGACACAGGCACTCAGCTGATGGACACCCTAGGGGGACCCAGACTTTAGGGAGATCCGTTTTGGCGGCACCCCCAGGGGCCTGCCCATAAGTCCCCAGGTGCTACTGCTGAAGAAGGTCTGTGCTAACCTGACTCCAAGTCCACTGTGCTCCAGAGAACTTAGAAAGGGGCACTTGGTCCAGAAATAGAGAGCCCTGAGTCAGCCCTGGCTCGCACCCCCACTCAGGACCCCAAGTGGACGCGCGCCTACCTTGCTGCTGAGGGCCTCAATCTTCTCCTGGTCGAGTCGGTGCTGCCGACTGCAGGCCTCTGCCGTCATGGCCACCCGCTCCACCTCGCGGTTCAGGACACAGACGATGTTCTCGAACGTGGCCGTCTTCCTCTCGAGGCTATCACACCTGTCCAGGAGGTCTGCCGGCTCGGGGAGCCCCGGCACCCAGTTCCCATCTTCAGGGAGACGCTTCGCCTCCAGCACACGGTCCAGCAGCAAGGCCAGGTGCTCCCGAAGCCGCAGGGCCTCATGCTCCATCCGCTGCTCACTCTCCATCTGCCAGACACCCGAGCCCCGAGCTCGGATCTGCCAGAGGCGCCCACCCAAGGGCCCACCCCCACCAACCCAGGCACAGGCCCCACCCCTCCTCTCCTGGGGACCCCTCTTCACAGTGGTGGAAGGGAGGGTGCAGAAACCAAGGTGCTGGCCTGGCAGGGTGATGTGCCCACTACAAGTGGGGTGCTCAGAGTGGGGGCAGAGAAGAGCGGGTCCTGGAGGAACAGGGGGGCTGCTTCTTCAGAGGCCCACGCTATTAACTTAACGTGGACACGCTGGAAGGAGAGGCCCAACATGGCTGCTGGACTCACCATGTCAGAGCAGCCCAGGGACTGGAAGCGACAGGGCACTGTGCACTTGCCGCAGGTCCTGACGTGGTCCTGGAACTGGACACACACAGACCACTCATGAACCATCACCACTGAGCTCTGGACACTCTGCCCCCATGCCAAGGAAAACATGACTACCCACTGTTTCCAAACAATGGGCACATGTACCCTGGTACTCACTACATGCACACACACACGCACACACATGCGCACACACTCAGCCCAGGGTTCAGGATAGGGGAGCCCAGAGGTGAGGGGATGCAGATAGTGGGGCAGGAGGGCTTCCTGTCCTCCCATGTTAGAGAAGCAAACCAGATGGGCTATATGGGCGCACACACTGTTCTGGGTTGAGGACCACCACTCCCAGCCCAGTCCCCAAGCTTGTTCTCTGACTCGGGGGCTCAGCAGAGCGCCAGGAACCACTAGACATCCTCCACTGCTCGTTCCAACAGGTACGCAGCTGTTTGCACGTCCCAACTGCGTACCACAGCACAGAGCTTCCAAGTCGGGTGGGATTTCTGTCTCATTGATGGGGTAATAATAACTTCACGGCTTCATTCTAAGCAATTAATAAATGACTCACCCAAAAGTGGGTACAACTTACAAAAAACCAAATCAGTTACTGAATCCAACTCGTTATACCCCCTTGTGCGTCGGAGTAGAACTGTGCCCCATGGCGTTTCCATCTCTCATTCATTACCCTGCCGTGTGTGTTGGAGTAAAACTGTGCTCCACAGTGTGTTCATCTCTGACTCACGGCGCCCCCGTGTGTGTCTGAGTGGAACTGTGCCCCACGAGGATTTAATGGCGCCCCCGTGTGTGTCT